TGAGAATGAATTTTCCTGCTAGGATTTGAATTGTTGCTCTAAATGAGGGGTTTTTGTCTCTTTAAAGCAAGCTCAGGTTTCTTTTTTTTTTTCCCCCTCTTTATTTTTAACTTGCTGCATTTTGCTGCTTTATAACTACCGCTAATAACCGCCGTTGAGTTTTCTTTGAGTCCCCTTTGTGCATCGTGTACGTATCACTTCCAGGGGTTTTTGTCCATAATGCCAGGGTCTCTGGTATGTGCTTATTTTATTTTTAAAACAAAGAACAATGACAGATTTGCTTTGTGGAGAAACTTTCTATGAGGAATTACATGGACTTTGCAAACTGCGGTCATCATCGTTACAATACACTATTAAAGTAAATGAGCCTTTTTTTCACACACCCACCTGTTCCCTCCTTCCCCTGATGCCTGTATGTTGTCTGCTCAGTCACTGTTAAGGAGGTTAATTGCCTTATCATTAAACATAATTGTTCTCTTTGCAAAATGAACCATTGTAGGTTTATACAAGTACAAAGAGCTTCCTTGCAACCTCAGTGCACACATCGGTGTGGTGCTGCACTTGGCTTTCCTTTGTTTCTCAAAACACAGTGGTAACTTATTCCTTAGCCCATTAGTTCCTTTGTGTATTGTCAGGGGAGCCTCCGTTGTTTATGTACAACCAGGATGCTCATGCTCTTATCTGTAACTCAGATTGTTTATTGCCTGGTGAAGGACACAACAGCAGAAATTTTGTACTACAAAGTAGGTTGGTTGTTCACATTAAAAAAAAAAAAAAAAAACCCAACCCAAACAAGGTGGGGAAGGTAAGCAAGAGACAGCAGTGTGATCCCACAAATGATTTAAGAGACTTTTTTAAGCCTTCAGGTAAAAATCCTCTTTGAGAGTAGAGCAGCAATGGATGAGGGGAGAATTAAACAGGGCATTCATTCGCAAGGTCTCTGATGCTCTTTTGTTGGTGTTTGAGAGAGATCTGGGAACAGGATGAGAGATTTTCTTTCTTTCTTGTTTGTTGCATGTTAAAAATCAGCCATTTCTTGCCCACTGGGAGAATGAGAAGCAAAGGGTTGACTTAAGAGCAAAGGGGTCTATTATAGCAATGACTCTAAGGATCATTGTAAGACTGGATTGACAGCAGGTTGGTAATGATTATCTGATAAAGTCTGAATAGTATAAAATCCATTCATTACAAAGCCTCTATTTAATTATCCATTTTAAAACACAGACAGAGAAATGGGTAGTATCTGAAGGGTCTCTGAGAAGACCCTTGTGGGGGACAGAATCTTTGTTCTGGTCTGACATTTCCATAACATCCTAGCTTAAAAAAGCATTGCAATTGCAACTGGTTTATGTGTGGCTACTTATCTCAGAGTGAGGATGGGGAAATAATTAAATATAAATAGGAAGAAATTAACAGTTATTGCAGGGGGTGTTTTGTAAAGTGGAAATAAAGTAAAACTCAGAGCTACCTGCAGGTCTTTTCACATTCAGCATCTGTAAAGGTTCCCTAAACCTAATTCTAGTTAGTGCTAATGACTTAATAGTGCAAATCATGTTAGGAGCAGGATGAAGTCTCATATTTAGCCAGAGCTTAAATGATAGGCATGGACATTAGAAAATCCCTCTGCGCTAAGAAGCCAGCTTGTATACAGAGAGGTGGGATAAATAAGCTGAGAAGCCTTTTCCAACTAAGGTCAGCTGTAAGTTAACAGAAGCAGAAATAAAATCTCGCAGAACACACTTCATAGTACTATTTCCCCTTCTTTTAAAGACAACTTATGTTTAAGGAACTACCGTATCCAAATAGAGAAATTGTTTTATCTCTTCCCTCAGTAAAGGACCACTTCAGTCCAGTCACTTACCAATTCAGAAAATCACACTGGAACTCTCAGGATGCAAAACAGGAGCAAAAATAAGAATACATAGAAAAACAGTGGTATGTGCTCTGGTCATCCTCTTTGAGCAGGCTCAAACAGGAGGCTGAATCTCACTTTGGCTCTACTGGTGTAGGTCTGGAGTAATGCTGTTAATACCTTTGGAATTACATAAGTAATTGAAATACAGATTGATCCACTAGTGTGTTCATAACTCTGCAGGCATTAGGGATTAACATAGTTATTTTATACAGTTACACGTGCATGGCACAAATGATGGCATTAAAGAGAGAAATTTTAAGAAGATCTTGGAAGCTTGTGTTTGGAAAGAATGCATTATACAAGATAACTTGAATATATCAATAGCAGCTTAATTAGGCTTACAAACCATAATTTCAAGGAAATTCTTGCATTATTAGACATACTTGTTCAGTTGTCTGCATATGTCCATGTAATTCAGCGCTGCACTATTGTGTTGCGTGTGCTTCCACTCTCTGCACTAAACTGCAGAATATTATTTTGCAAATTTTGCTGACTTGCTGCCCAGATAATTCAGCTTTTGGTAAGGTTGGGGTTTTAATGTAATTTGGGGCCTTCCTTCATAACATCCAAGGTTGAGCCAGCAGTCAATAAGTAAATATGTCGTTGTGTGTGTCTGCATTGCAGAATCTTCGGCCTCAGGAAAGTCGGACCGTATTCAGTGGCTCTGTCAGTATCCCATCGATCACGAAATCCCGCACAGAACCAGGACGATCGATGAGCGCAAGCAGCGGGTTAGCAGCACGTAAGCAAGCAGAACTTTGTTGCTTTGGGGTCAAGGCACTAGTATTGTAGGGAC